TAGTGAAATTTTGGATGACCTAACGAATGCAATGAAGAAATGTGATGAAGAAGAATGAATACCCTGACGGCACAGTCGTGGAAGTGGAGGCGGATGATGGCCGGAGCCAACGTGTAATCTCTTTTGAGCCAAGCACTCACTTTTTGCTGGATAATGCTCTCCAGATTGGGGCATGTTTTCAGGTAGTAAAAGGGCGACAGGTCAGCCGCCGGGGGCAGAGCGCGGCGGACTTGGGAAAGAGGCAGCTGTCTCACTGTGGAGACTGTGGATGTGATAAGAAAACAAATCAGGAAGAATACACTCAAGGAAAACCACCTCATTTTCATTTTGGCCGCAACAATTAATCACTAGTTCTGCAGAAAAATATAAAGTAGATTTTGTTAGAGATGTCTCCAAAGTGTGGTCTATATGTGCTTCTGGATTTGACATATTATTTATGTATTTTTTTTTATTTATTATTATTTTTTTTTTTTTGGTGTTAGGGGGAAAATTTGAAAACGTGAAGAGCACCAAATGACATGTCTCCATGTTGGAATAGATTGAATTTCGTGGGTCAAACAACAACAGGGACGGCTAGATATGGCCTTTTATTTGTTCATTATTTACTATTCGGGGAAATGCTACACTCTAGTTAAGAACCATTACGTCGGGATTTGTAACCGTTCAATCAACAATTAACCGTCGTAAATAATTGATCTAACGGTACAAACTTCAACGGAATGATTCCGTAACAACGGGACCGTAAAATCTCCAGTATTGGTGAGATGAAAAAAAAACGAGTAGTACGAGGATGACGCCACATCACAAATCACAACCATGGGAACTTACAAACTGGTGGAGGCCAAAACCGGCTGGTGTTGTGGTGCATCTTAATCTTTCCATTGCATCTATCATATATAATCGCCGCACATCCGGCTAAAATTTAGTCTCAAACAACTAGATAATGAATTGCGATCTAAACATCTCAAAGTTATACATTATACATTGAACCATCTGGTGGTGGAATCAGTCTTGCATCGACCCACTTAAAGTAGTTAAGGAAATGCGACAACATATTGCATCACTAAAGTGATGTAACACTGCTATATTTTCAAAGCTCCTCAAGTGCCTTGCTGGGTCGGTCAATCCATCGTAGGTTAGGCTTAGATTGCGAAAATTGGAAGGTAGTGTAGCCTCCAACACTTCCTTGGCGAATGGATGCCGATAGATTATGGGTCATCATACCTTTCACCCTTGCTTTGTGCCCTCGCAATCAAGTTGTCATCCTTTCCAATGTGACATCTCTAGCAGGTCTCAACACCGTGCTTGGGGGGAGGTCATAGATCTGGCCTCTCCGCCTTCAGCTCTCCTACTGAAGAAGTTGATTAATAGAGATGGTCGTGCCCGAGCTCTGGCCACCGCATCGACTACAATACTTTTTAACTCTATCCTCGTGAGTTGGATGATATGCTCCCCTCTATGGACCTCCTACCCATTTAGGTTCATTTGTGGACCTTCGTCATGTCCTCGAGGTCGGACATCTCTCAAAACTTCGACCTGCCGCTTCTTGACTCATTGCCTAGAGTATGTACCCTGCGCGACAACCTTCTGCTCCAGGTTTTTCTCCCTTGGCATTTCCTGAAGGGGGAATGGTAGATCACACCACAGGTTCACCATGAAAACTTTCCTTTGGTGCAACCTGAGCACTTGCAAACCCTCGTCCATGTCTTTCTCCAGGTTATTTCTCGAACTTTTTTCAGCTATGATCTTGTTAACTTCAATACTTAAGATAAAATCAAGCCTTTGTCAACTAGCTATTCTTTTTCTGTTATTCCATCCAGCTATTCAGTTGATAGTTTGATCGACGACTTGAATGGTCTCAGAAGTGTTTTCACAACCGCTTCAAGGATGTCCCGTCTAGTGGGAGAAGTGGTCCAAAGCGA